TCGCGAGCGTGGCCATGCTCGCAGGGCTAGCAAGCTTCAAGCCAAGCTGTTGGTGACCCGAGACCAGCTCGTCGAGGCCCAGACTTCTGCCCGTGGAGAGGATCTTAGCACGGAGATGGAGCGCGTGCCCTTGGCGCTTGCCGACAGCCAACGAGATCTGGAGACGCGTAACTCGAAAGTGGAAATGCTCTGCCAAACTCTCACGGTGTACCGGGAGTTCGCTCCGGGGGCCAAGGTGGACTTGGCGCTGATGGTGGCTGAGGCTTTCTGATGAGCCAGACCACGATTTGCATGCTGAGGCGGGAGCTTGAGGAAGAACGAAGGCGCGACAGGTCGCGAGCGCCGGGCACTTCAGGGGCTGACGGAGACTTTAGGGGTGCGGGTCCTTCTTTGCCGGTGGGACCTTCGCGTCAGCCGGGCTTTTAAAATTATTTATGCTTTGGGGACCTGTTCCCCTTGTAACTTTTGAACTCGAAGCGGCAGCCGCTTTGGCCTGCTTCTTTTTTTTTAGTAATGTTGCTTTATCTTAATTTGCTTAGCTTCGTCTTTTGCATCTTTCGCGTCTTATCTCATGTCGCAGATCTGGAGTCTCGGTTTTGGAGCCAATACGCATAATTATCCCGAGCTCCCAAAACGGTTGAGCAGAACCGTAGCCTGCTCGATCCGCACGCTCTGCGTAACTATTTTCGGATGCTTCGCTCTTCGTGGAACGCCCACTGGTGATCCTCTTCCTTCTAGCACCAAATGTTCGGGAGCAAATTTCTGGATGCCACGTGAAGGGAAAGGGGGGGGGGGGGGGGGGGGGGGGGGGGGTTATGATTCGTCGGGGAAAGAGTCGGGTCTCCGAATTTCGTCTTCTGGGGGGAAAAGCGGCGAAGCCTCGTTCCAGGGTGGAAGCTTCCTGTCGCGATGCGGCGGGGCATGCACCGTATTCGATCTTGCAAGCACTTAAACAAACGTCAGGCGAGCCTTCGAGGGAGGACCGAAAGGGGGTTTCCTTCCCGAAGGTTCTCCGACGTCCAAGTTAGTGAGCGCCCTACCGGGAACGAGTACTGGGGGGAGTTCTCTACGGGTTAATTGTGAGGAGACTCGTCCGAGGATCGAGACTCCTGTCTGGTTTAGGGTGTTTTGAGAGGGATTTCTACATGTGAAAAGGGGAATGCAGCGGGTACAAAGGCAGGGTTCCAAGTTGTGGATAACTTAACCTGGTCAGTAATCACCCGGGAGTGACACGGAGTCCACCTGTGATCCTGCTGCATTGCCCTGAGACATCGGAAGGTGGGCCTCTCCGATCGTCCCCCTCTTCGATCGTCCCCTTCTTCCCTATCCGTGAAGTGTTCTTCTTCTATTTATACTCGCCATTCCCTTGTCATGTCTCCTCCGAACCACGTACTCGGGGAGCAGGTGGGAGTAATCATTCTGGTGTGTTAGGGGAAGTCCGCCAACTGCTCCGGTACAGTACACGGTTGTGGCTCGGCCGAGTTAGCGTGGCGTGTGTCAGCGATCGATGTAGCCTAGGTCTACGTGGCGAGTTTTCTTTCGATCCGGTAAAATGGTCCTAACAATAGCTATGTTATTTGAATAATTTGTAAACTAACTATACCACACAATCAATTATTGAATATAACTTTATACTATATTATACTTCATACTATATTATATATTAATTTTATAATAGTTTTCATTTAACTTAATATTAAAAAAGAAAGTTGATTGTAAAGAAAAAAGGAGAGAGAAGAAGACGGAAGAGAAGAGGAGATGAGAGGAGAGAGGGGAAAAGGAAGACAGGTGAAGAAGTGAGGCGATGAGAAAAGGAAAGGAAAGAAAATAAAAAATAAAAGAATATTTTTGTATATATGGTAAATTATATAGAGAATATTATATCACATACTTTATTATATTTATTTGATGAATTTATGTTTTATATGTCATACGACCCCAATTTTTTTTGAAAGAATTATGTTGTTAAAAAAAAAGAAATCCACTTCAAATGCAGGGGGGGGTGAACAACGGCATGAGTTGCAAATGGTCTTTCTTTCCAAAAAAGTCAATCTTCTATCTTTATGCTTTTGAGATAAACCCTAAGTTGAGTCATATCATTAACCTACTAAGATTTGGATGTTGTTCCAAAAGTCGTGGATAGTTTGGTTCCCTAAGACAGAGAGAATGCACTCGTTTATAGCTTATAATCAGGAACTTTTGAGTGTTCCTGCAGTGTTGATCGGGATTCTAATTTCTAACAAATCTTATGACAGACTTGGGTCTTGTCATTTTTCAGTAGCACCTATAGGTGGCTATAACGCTGAAAGAGACATGGCTTTGATTCTTGATGTTGCACGTTTCTGGGTTTCCCTCTAGAACTGCTTTGGGAAGCCATGAACATCACTGATCAGCAACTTAAGAGGGTACATACTCATTTGTCTTTGTAATCTTTCCCTTTTTTAATTGACGGGATCATGAATATAATAATTGTTCTTATAGAACTCTTGTTTACAGGTTCATGCTCATATCTACACTCCACAAAGACCTAGGATTGCTCTATACTCTGGTATGTTCTTCATTATTTTTTTGCATTTTCTGTTGATTCAGTTTTCTCAGTCACTTTCTTTCTTATGCAATCTGTTTTCATGCGAGTGTGAATTTGATTTCCATATGATCGAATACTTTCAAAAAATATCATTCTCCTACTTATATATCTACTTAAGTTTCATTCTCTGGCGATATCTGAAGCGAGATCAACTGACACAAGTACATGAAACTGAACTGTTCGAGCACATCAACAAGAAATGGTTTAAGATTAAGATCAATGTCTCATCAAAACAAGAAGTGGGAACTATGTAACATATGCGAACTATATTAACCATAGTCATCATCACTCTACTGATTAAGTTATTAACCATAGTCATCATCACTCTACTGCAGAATCCACTCACTCACACACACACACACACACAGGTTTTTTTAGTTACAAACGAAAGTTGTAATCTTTAAAATCCTAAGGAACTTTAAAAAAAAAGTCTATACCTTTACCATTCCAAAGATCGAATCCTGCGTAGAAACCGAGGCTGCTGCTGCGGTTTCTCAACTACAGGAATCACAAACTCCATTAGCTTCTGGTATCTCTCTTTCCGCTTCTCTTCAATCTCTCTCGAAAGCAACTCATTCTCTTCCTCGAGCTTCGCTGCTAAAGACTCCAACTCAACTTGGTAAGCTTGTTTCCTCTCTCTCGACCTAGCAGCAGATTCACGGTTCTTGATCATCCTCCTCTGTCTCTGCGCATCTGCTTTATCCAATGGCTCAACCATCACTCTCGCTCTCTTCCCTCTCGCTCCTCCTCTTCCTCCTCCTCCTCCGTAAACATCCAAACCATTCCCAAACGCAACAATCGATCCTTCTACTTTATCAATCATCTGAAACGGGTTATGCGGCGGCGCTGAGTGATCGAACCCGTAATCGAGTCTCTCCGGCGGAATCTTCACATCCATATCCTCGTCTTCTCCTCCTCCGTTCCCCACCGTCGCTGCTTCTGCATCTTCCCCAGCAGCTTTCGCTAAGAAATCCTCCAACGTCATTATCTCTTCCTGCGTCTCTTCCTTCATCCCTTTCCCTTCACCAGATACGATCTCTCTCCAGACCTCGTCGACACTCTTCCCACGAGTCTCCGTTCCTCCTCCTCCTCCGCCGCCACGATCGACATCGGAAACCGTCGTTATCTCCATTGGCGCAGGAGCTTCCTCCATCAGAGTCATCGACGCGCCCAGGAGCGAAGATTCCGTAGCTGGTGGATCCGATGCGAAAGTATCGTGTAGAATCCCTTCCACCGTCATCGCGGTGGGACTGTACCCGTCGTTTCTTCCGCCGTAACCGACACTTAGCCTCGATTGATCGGCGTTGGGATCTCGCCTGAATTGTTGAGGTCTTATAGAGGAAGAGGAAGAAGAAGCAGAAGGTATACGACGAGATAGATCCGAGTTTCTAGAAGTTGAAGAAAGCATCACCTTAAAGGACGCCATGTTTCAGAGAAAATGAAGAAGTTGTTCGTTGTTCCCTTTCTCGCCGGAATCGGATCAGAGAATCCGTTTGGTTCCTTTGACTCGGCTCGAAATGAAATTGCAGAACACTGAGATTTACTCGAAACCAGAAGAAATCGCGAGATTTTAGGGTTTTTTTTGGTGAACCCTAAAAGGATTTGGCACTTATCAATCCGTTCAATTTTTCCCCAAACCGCATCTAAATTGACATTTTTACTTACAAAAATGTATAGAGATTTTGAAAGACCACGCGCAAAATTCGCGCGTGAATTCATTTTCCAGACTTTTTCACCCAAAATCGCTGATTTTTTTGGCAACACGAGATCGCACTTTTTTGAAAATTTAGGGGCGCGTGGGCAAGTTCTGTCACGTGTCATCATAATGTGGTCGCTAAACTTACCATCAATGATTTTTAAGATCATATTAGTGCATAATTAACTTGAGTTACATCGACTTAAGTACTTTTAATTAAGTAGATAAATCACAGAGCGTTACGATCTTAAAAAAAAAAAAAAATTCTTATCATTATTTTAAAATCGAAGTTTATCAATAGACTACTAAAATTTATTGACAACTTAGCTACAGAAATATGACATGTTAATGTATTTAAAAAGAAACATAGAGACAAAAAAAAACTACCGAAATTTGCATTGAATGGTTTATATTATTGTTGGTATCATGTCACAATCATAATTTGAATGCTAATGAATGCTTTGTGAGTAGATAAAGTAAGAACCGGAAGTCAAAACACACATTTTGACATCATCCTACAAATTGACAAAAAAAAACAAAAGTTTGGACAATATAATCCAATTAAGAAAGAAGTAATTTTCCCGTACTTAGCTGAATAATTTATTTTTTCAACTACAAACATATAATCAATGTCGGCTTCTCTAAATCACTCAAAACGTCAAATACATTTTATAGGAAACACTAGGCTTAGTTTAGTGGGTAAATCAACAAAGATGGTTGGCATAAGGTCTCTTAAATAATTGATATCATCATGTTAACATGCTATACACAAAATTGCTGCATAATTATCCGCATAAGCAACTAAGTAAAAGACATGAACATGTAAAACAAAGTTCAAAGATTTTGTACCTTTCTTCCCCAACAAAAAGTATCTTTGTACAAAGTTCTTTCGATTTTAATTTTATAAAACCGTTGTTGTTTGGTTCCCCCACAAAAACACTATAAAACAGAAGTAAATATATAATGTACATAGATTGAAAAGAGAGTCCAACCTAGAAAAGACCTACGCAAAAAGACATAACATTTCACGGAAATGACACTTTTCTCAGAGACCAGTCTCATCAGCTTTCGTTGTTGTCTGAGAACTATTTCCGACGCTGTTACCGGCCAAGACGATCCAACCTTCTTCTTCTTCTTCTCCTTCTCAGAGAACCTAAGTAACAAAGCAAAGAAACCGTCTTGAGGAAAGAAACAAAGCTTTCATTTCTTTGGGACCATACCATAAATAAATTTGCAAAGATGAGTAGTGTTGACCTTATTACCTCTTATGATAAAGTCACTTAAAATGGAGATTCGAGTGGTTCATCCCAAACATCTGCACTCCCATTCGAGACTTCCTCCACATCTTCTTCCATTGATAACCTCACATACTCTCTCTGAGCAAATCTGTCCCATTCTGTCAATGTTGGATTCTCGCGTTCCTATTGAAACAGAGCAGTCAAAGTTAACGAAAGCTGTTAACATCGTTTCATACTTTTTCTCCCTAGTTTCAACAGAGCTGTTAAACAAAGGATTTACAAACTCTACAGAGTAGCTATGCTTTACCTGGCGAATGAGAAAAGGGTCACGGGTTTCAAAGGCCATGAATTTGTTCAGGTTGAAGAGTATATTGAAAACATTTCCAGAGAGTTTAGATGCTTTCAGGTCCTGGAGTGTGATGCAGTTCTCCTTCTGAAAGAGTCACTTAACAAGTTGATGTTTAGAATTAGAAAAAAAAAACAACACTCGGGATAATATCAAAAGAACAATGTTGGGATTTGAAAGAACTCTTGCCTCTGGTTTAATCATGTCGAATATTTGGCATAGGATATCCTCAAAGAGTACAGGTTCCTGGGTTATGCATTCCATGCGATGCAGCTGCTCTTCATAGAAAAACTGCATTTCGTTCGGAGTGATCACCCCATCTCCATCCAGGTCTATGCACTTGAACCTGCAATAATGGTTTTAATCAATACCCAGTCAAATGTTTTTGTTTCAATAAAATTACGGTACCACTTCGTATTTAGTGATGAATCATAATCTCAGGTAAACATTGTTTCATCAACAAGGCCACATATGCCACAAGTTTTGGCTTAGCGATCATACATTTATACCGACATATTGTGCTAAGAAGCTAAGGACAAAATGGCTGAAGAGAAGTCGCTAACGACTAAAGAGAAGAAGGGGAGAGAAGTGTACCAATACTCGAGACTAGACTCAGATGACTTATCCTCCTCGGCGAGAATGAAGTATGCAAAATCTTCATAACTCATCTTCCCCTCCACTTTGCTCGTAAATTTCCTAGGGACCTATAGCATGAATCAATATAGAATGAAACGCATCCCGTAAGACTATAATTAAGCTACATAAAAGAGTGTTCAGTTAAAAAACATTTTGACATATGGAGCCAACCTGTGAAAATATTCTCTCCACAATCCTGTAAGTAAGGGCATGATTACCATACTTGATGAGATTTTCCTTATCAATAAGGAAATCATGGTCGCCATCGAGTTCCCAAAATCTGCAGTATATAACGTAGAAATGCTCATATGAGAAGTACCTGAAAGGCAAATTAAGAAAATGTCAAATTGAATGGTCAAATGATGCGTACTGTCCTTCTCTCAATACGAATATGAAGTTCCCATACACTGCTTTCCCTTTATGAGCAATACAAAGACCTAGGCACTACCCATATTGCTCACAACGCTACACAGCTTTCTTTTCTGAGCTTAAATTCTTAAACAACCTAACTCGTTTCTATTATGAAAATAAAACTGAACTAGAAATCTTTTATAAATACTGCTTAAGAAATGAAGAAAAGGGAAAACATAATCACCTAATAACTTTATTGATGTCGTCTTCTTCATCAACTTGTTGCATGGCAGCAATAAGATTCCCACGCTTCAGCTCTCTAAGAGTAATGCAACCAGTTCCTGATCTGTTTATGTAGTAAAATATTCTGTAGATGACAGTCTCAGCTGGGTAGACGGGAAAGAACACAATAATGAATGAGACAAGCACAGGAAAAAATATGATTTAGTCTGATGCATAAAACATATATGCACCTAAAAAATTGTATACTCATTTCAAAACTTTCAGGTAATGAATTTACTGGAAATGTCCTGGCCTAATATTGGAAGAATTACTTGCCCTGGCCTATCATAACAGCTAGGAAGGCACTTTCAAGTTCATCAATGTGTTTAAATAGATCAAATATAAGGAAATAAATTGCATAAACGTCTTATTCAGCATAGGAAACAGACATTCCGGTAGAAAATCTAAAGTTTAGTTCCATGAACCAAATACATTCTTACCATATCTTTCTTGAAATTCAGGTGTATTCCTCAGAAATTCCAAGCCAGGATGAGATACCAGAAGCTCATCAAGAACTGGTTTGAAGTCAGCCTATCCCAGAGCACAAGAAAAGACAGAAGCCTTAAGGAAAACAAGAAAGACGATAATCTTTGGTAAACAAATTAATCAGCAGTGAAGAACTGGGAGATCATAAAGAGACCTGTCTGAGGTACTTGCAGCCTGTCTGTCTTAGAATATTATATATCTGTGAGGCTACGTCCATTGCCAACACATGTCCATCAACCCAATACTTGATAAATGCATCCCTGCAGGTAAACATTATATTCAGGCGTAATATATGGTGTATTCTTTTGTTTTTGGGTCAGAATATATGGTGTATACAAAGTAAACAGAAAAATTGCATAGTTGCTGTACATTTCTACGATTATTAACATGATTTGGCTAACTGAGAGATATACTGTATCCATTTCCAGAAAAAATTTATATGTGTAGATACTTCAAAATTACTATTACTACAAATAGAATCGGGCACACAAAGATCCAGATCAGCGTGTTCTATTATTATTACATATACACAAACACACAAGCATAGATATGTATATATACACTTGAGTACTACAATTACGCATATGAAAAGAAAGTACATAACGTTACCTTGTAACAACACCGGTGCATTTCGTATCTATTTTTCTAAAAAGTATCGAAGAAAGAAAAGAAGGCAGCTTGCAGACTTCTTTCGTAATGGATTTGAATTCTGCAATTAGACAATAGCAGGAATGTGTTTGTAAGATCAACGGTTTACCTATTCCTTACAGAACGAAACTGATGTAGAAAAGTTTGAACTGAAACATTACCATCCATTCGAAGTCCATCAATATAGTTACTAAACAAATGATCAACCATAGATACACATTGCTCCTTCAGTTCTTTCGCAGGTGGACGCCCATGTTGGAAGTAAAACTGCATAACGTATCAAGACACAGAAGTTTAAACAAGAATATTGAACACTATCCTATAAACCCCTCAACTACAAACTGTAACATGTTAAACGGACTACCATAGTAAGCTTATACTTTGTCATCGCTTTGTACCCAAAAAAAAATGAATTAATTCTACTTAACCGGAGAAAATAGTTTCTATTAATTTTGTGCTAATGGATCTACATCTACTTTGAAAGCTATTTCAATCTAATTTCAACAATCATGTGAGCATACATAAGAAAACCAAAATCACGATGTCAAGTAGGGCGTTGCCTTTTCCTGTCATTTGTAAGATATCCAAGTGTGATATAAAACATACATACGAGGAGAAGCTGGATACAAAATCAAACCTGAGGAATAAGTTGGCGCTTTGGTTCCCTGACTGATTTCAGAGGAGACTGCAGAGAAGAAGGGCTCGTCTTTTGCCTCGAGAAACGAGGAGACCCAGAAGAACTTCGTGGGGATAGTGGGGGAGTGCCGCTGTTCAGAAACACAGATGGCAATGCACTTCCGCAAGAAATGTTGAGATTGGCACAGTTCTTGGATACACTGACTGGGGTACTAGATTTAGTATCATCAATCAAAGACTTGACCTGCACAAACATCACACAGATGAATTGCCAAAAGAGGTCACCAAAAACTTCCACCGTATAATTGATTCCCAGCCATAACAAAATTCAAGGAACACCATTTTTATCACCCAAGTAACTCTAATCCCTAAATACACGCTTTAAGAAGATTCACATGTTCTATATTACTAAAGTAAAATCAACAAGAAATAGACAAATTTCCCGAATGTACTCCAGGAAGCATGTAGGATCATGTGCAGAAAAGTATAATGGAATCAGATGAACTCGGAACAATTTTATTCATAACGGATTCAGGAACAGGTATCATCATACATAAACAAGCACATAAATTAAATATGAAAACAAACAATTAACCGATAGATACTACTGATTACAGACCTGGTATGCACGTAAGGTTCAAGCAATCGAAAGAACACAAAAAGAAAATCCAATGCGAAATCAAACAATCTGTCAACTAAGTACACAGAAGTGCTTATAAACAGTATGGGCTCAGAAATCGAGTAACAAAAAAAAACAGCAAACAAGAACCAGAGAAGCTTGGGGATGAAATTACCAATCGGCCAGTTTCAGGGAGTGAAAGCCACTGGGAGAAGAGTTCTTCAGCAATATGAGGGTTTGATTTAACCGATAAAGGAGACAAACCAGGAAGCTGCAAGAGCTCAGGATCCAAAATATGAACATCGTTTCCACCATCAATATCCATGATCCGAAACTAAAGAAGATAACCACAAAACCCCCAAATTCCAGAGATGCCGATCGCAAAATCCACAAACGCGAAACCCAACCTCTTGCAATCAATTTCGAAAACGTTGAATTTGGTAACTTCACCACAGAATTCTCAGATTTTCTAAAGTAGCGAAACCCCACAGAGATTCAGAAAAGCGGCTCTGACTAATCGATGAGCTCTACGAACTAGAGACCGAAGAAAGGAACAAAAACAAACGATTCGATAAACCCTAGATTCCAGTATTCTATTAACAAGCAAAATAGACTGTACAACCCTTTCTGCAATTCGAATCTTAAGATTCCTGTCTCGATGTGGGAGAACGTGGCAGATCAGTGAACACTGTCTCTCTCTCGCTCGCTCTCTCCGATCGATTATAACAAGTTCGAGAAATATAGGAAATTCAAGAGTCCGAGAAAACGAGAGAGAATCGGAGAATTTTTCCCGGAAAGGTAATGAATTTAAAAGAGATATATTTAATTTATTTCATTACTCAGCGGTGGCATTTGTAATTGACCAAAAAATCAATTGCTAAACCAATCGGTTATATATTAATCATAAATATCTTTAGTGATTAACTTATGTTTTGTAAGTAACCGTAAAACCGAAGAAACCAAACTGAAACCAAACCAAAAACCGAAGTGCCCACCCCTAGTAAGTATAGTAATGTCATTTTTCATCATCATAGAGTTTCTCAATATTTTTTTGAAAAAAACCTTTATTATTAAAACATGTCGAGAAACTCTGTGATGATGAAAAATAAAATTACTATAAAAAATATAAACTAATATAAATTTATATTAATTTTACTGAACTAAGAAATTTAAAATTAATATTATTTAATTTTATGATATAATTTAAATAATGTTATTTATTTTTTTTTTAATTATACTGTTTAAGAGCAAATTTCATGATGCTACGTGAAGGTATGTAATTTGTTAGGGGATGGAGTTGTGCCTCTAAGTTTCGTTTTCTGAGGAAAGGCGACGAGTCATTCCAGGGTGGAAGCCTTCGGTGTCGGGGCGACTGTTCGGTCGTCTTCTCTAACCCTGCGAACACTCAAGAAAATGTCAGATGATCCTCCGGGAGGACTGAAAGGGGAGTTTCCCTTCCGAAGGTTCTCCGACGCCCAAGTCAATAAACATCCTACTGGGAACAAGTACTCATGAGGGGAGTTTTCTACGGGTTAATGAGAGAACTCTCATCCGGGGATCGAGGCTATTATCTGTTTTCGAATGTTTCGAAGGGATTTCTATACGATAAAAGGAGACGAAGCGAGTATGAAGGCGGGGTTCCGAGTTAGGGATACTTTAACCTGATCGGTATTCACCCGAGAAGAACATGGAGTTCACCCGTGATCATGTTGCTTGCCCGGACCGACTGATTCAGATACAAGTATATGCCTCCTCTTATAGAGGGGTTTTTCCCCATCTGACCAGCCAATCCTCTTCTGCGTGGTGATCTCTTCTTATTTATACTCGCACACTCCTCATCCTATCTCCTCCATTCGGCGCGCCAGGGGAGCAGGTGAGGGTAATGATTCTAGCGTGTTTGAGGAAGTTCACCAACTGCCCCAGAACAGTACGGGGGAGTGGGTCGGCCGAGCTAGTGTGGCGTGTGTCAGAGTCTAGCGCAGTCTAGGTCCACGTCTCAGGTTCTCTTTTGACCCGGTAAAATGGGTCCCAACAATTGATGTTAAGGTTTTTGAATCCTTTTGGTCAATCCTCAAACACACATGTCAATCCACTTAGGAAGATAATGACACTTGAGATATAGAGAACTATGCTTAGCTAAGCTAATAGGGAAGAGTTTTGATTATCTAACAACCTAGTGACAAACAAAGAAACAAAAGAAAGCAAGCAAAGAGCATTAATAGCAATGAAAAACAGAGCAAAAACAGAGTAAAGCTAAACTTCAAAGATTAAAAGTTGGTTCAAGATCAAGGCAATGGTGACAGGGTGATTCATATTCATGTCTAGGGTGATCAAAACAAATAATTCTAAACATTAAACCTTAGGTAAGGAACACTAATAAAGACTAATCCAATCTCTTGGCACTAATCCCTTTGCTAAATCACATTTCAAACCTACTTTTGGTGGTGTATCTATGACAAGCAAGCATTTAAATCAAGTTCCATAAAACCAATTAGCATGCTAGACATCTAATCTCTTATGCTAGGTTTACTAATCTCTTATATAATATATCAAACATCAACTCACATTCTCATGCAAAATCAACATTTAAAAATAATTTCCCACCAATGTGGTACTAAGCAATAAGCACATTCAATCAAGAAATAATAGATACAAAGACTCATGACTATCTAAACACCATTTTCAAGCATTGAACTTCATTCAGGAATTTCATCAAACATTTAGTGTGCAAGTGAAAACCTAAGATCAACTTCTCCAACAAAGAGGCACTAAGCATTAAACACAATCATATAAGAAAGGGAATGAGAAGATCTAATCCCTAATCACCCTAAACAATCACTAAAATTACCCCATCTGCCCTAGTCTCAAACCTAAAGCAAACTACTCACTAATCATGGTGAAAACCATCAAATCTATAAAGAAAATATAGTTAACCATGGTTAAGAAGACAAAATATTAAGGGAAATGCAAACTATCATTAAAATATATCAAGATTCAAAAACAAAATTATTCAAAAGAGAAGAACAAAGGAAGAACTGCTGGATATAGAGATGTTCCCAAAAATTAGGGATTTTAAGTATTTATAGGAGTATGAGCGAAAATGGCAAAATTATAAATAAATTATCTTCAGTCTAGGTCGCATCGGTCATCTATGACCGATGTTCAGGTTGACCGATGTAGCTGATCGATGCAGGTTGAGCGGTTTCACGAACATTGCGACATATTTTGAACGGCATACCAGAATGACCTGAAATCAAGTTCTTTTGAAAACTAACTCACGTGGCTACAACTTTCATGAAGAGTGCGGAAGCTGAATCATGACGGATGATATTCTTCCTAGCTGATCTTCATGTCGGTCAAGATCAACGGTCAAAATTCCAAATGGACGTGTGCTCACTTTATTCACCGTAACTCTTAAACCACTGATGGGAATGACTCGAAACCAATACCAAACGAAATTTAACTCACGGGGCTACAGTGTTGATGAAGAACGATGAGGCCAAATCGGAATGAAAAAACCTCATCTGAGCTGATCTTCAGTCGATATGGTCTTTCGGTTGCTTGACATCGGTCAGCTTATAACCGATGCAGATAACCGATGCTCTACTCGCTTGCTTTACATCGGTCACAGGTGACCGATGCAGATGATTGATGCTCCACTCGCTTGATTTACATCGATCACAGGTGACCAATGCAGATGACCAATGGGATTCACCAGCTTCTCTGTTGCTTTGTATCGGTCACCGTTGACCAATGTGATTCCAAAAGTGATCGATGTGGGTTGAGTGGTTTCACGGAAACTTCTGTACCTTTCTATCCATGAATGGGAATGACCTGAAACCAACTCCAGACGCAAGTTAACTCACGGGGCTACAACATTGATGAAGACTGTTGAAGCTGAATCGGGTTGGAGATGCTTTGTCCGAGCCGATTTTGTCAGGTAAAGTTTCTGGCCGCTTCAATCAAGGTGCACCTTCTTCTTGGCTCTTTTCATGCCTTTTGCTGCATCCACCATCATCTCCCATGCTACTTGTAGTCTCCAAACTCTCCAAAAATACCTGCCAAACTCCTCAGATGCACAAAACATGCAATGCACACCCTAAATCTACACTAAGCCCTAATTGAATGCAAATGGGGGAAAAAGTAAGCAAAAATGCATGTTTAAAGACTATAAAACAATGCAAAATGTATTCTAATATGGTGTAAATAATGAGTATATCAACACCCCCACACTTGCCTTTTGCTTGTCCTCAAGCAAACAAGAATAATTGAAAGAATGAGGTTTGAAAGTGGGAGCTCAAAACTAAATGTGCTAATGGAAAAACTGATTCAATGCTCAAGTTATAGGTTCTAAGATGCATAGAGATTGTTTTACTTCAAAATCTCTAGCCATACCTATCATAGCAAATAATGAACTCTAGCTTAGCTTACACAAGCATTCAAATCAACCACCTCTTTAACATTCATTAATAGTAACAAATGGATCTTGCTTATGTAAATCAAGTGAAAGCATTTGGTTCAAGGAAAAAGCTAAGAGATGAAAATGATCTCTTTTAAAGTGGGTTTTCAGAAGTAAGAGATCTCTCTTTGAAGGAATGAACTTTGGCAAAATGCTAAGGGTAAAGCTCAACATATGCATACAAGGATAAACTCTTATCTACCCATTGCCTAGATTGTTCTAATCCCAACCTTATGTCCCATCAAAGCCCATCATAATCTACCCTTTTCAGAAGGCTTTTGACTCTTTTAAACACCTCCACACTTAGCCAATTCTTAGGGAATCTTTTCTTCTTTGCTTTCTTCATGATGTGGCCTCTTGGATCTTCTTTTTGCAGCTCTTCTTTGTTTTCTTAGAGAGTCTCCATTTTGTTTCTTCTTTTAGTTCCTTAGGCTTCTTTTGGCCTCTTCTTTTTTTTTTTTTTTTTGAGAACTCCTCTTCTTTGTTTGCTGCTCCTAGATCTTTTGGGTTCCACACATGCTTAGCTTGTTGTCTTTCCTTTCTTCTTCTCTTATCCAAATGAAAAATAAATAGCACCCAATTCCCACACCTAAATCTACCATCCTAAGCCTATTTATGACTCAAATAGAAGAGTTATATCTACATGAGAGCTTACCCTTGTCGTGCTAAACCCAACACTTTTTGCTAAGTTCATTCAGAAATAGGCCTTACACACACAAGATAGTATTTAGGCTTGAAAGGAGGATTGGTTTAAGGTCTGGTTAACTGTCCTATATATGAGGATCAGCTACTTGGACTAGAAAGAGTGGCAGAAGGAGAAAGAAAGTCCAAGTATATATATGGTAGCCATGCAATCACTTTTCAAAACATAAGCAAGATAATTATAAGTAAGGATTATAGTTTTAATAAGATAGAGTTGGAATCAAATCAAAGCAAGCTTGAGCATAAGACAAGAATATCAATGGAAGAATTCAAAATATGGTGCAGCCTTAACTTCAAACTCACTACAATGCAATCAAACAACATATAACCAAGGCATTGAAAATAACTCAAACATTAACATCTTGACAAGTGTTTATCATCTACTCCCTATGAAAATGTGTGCAAACTTATATGAAATGCATCTAGACTCAATCTTAGTTATGTAAATGCAACTAAATGATCTTTTGGTTCTAAAAAATTTGAAACTTTTATGGATTTTCAGTGCATATGGATGAATGCATGAATGCATGAGACTCAAGTATGTAAAAGAGAAAATAAGAAAACAAAATACAAAATCAAATGCAATACCCTCCCCCACACTTAAATTACGCAGTCCCTTGTGTAATAGAAGCTTGAAGGAGGTGAATAAACAAACTAAAAATGATTGCAAAAGGATGCATAAAGAAAGAAGAGG